GTTAAGGTGTTGGCCCTCTCATTCAAAATAGCCCCGTTTCGAAATCTGGGTAGCGCCCGAAAAAATTTCTTCTCTAAAATTGTCTCGTTTCACCTCATTTCCTGCTATCTAGCAATGTTCTGTTGTCTGCTTTCAGTTCCACTTTCTGACCCCACCCCCTCACCTCCTTTGCCCCCTCTTCTGGGCTCCTGTTTCTTTCTACAGCCTTTCTACTGCTACTCCTTCGCTTCTTCTTACTGCTGTCTTTCAGCCACACCCCTGATCTTCTGGTAGGAAAGATCTACAGCTAGCCTTCTCGGACAAGGGCGAAAAATGTCGGAGGGCCCGTGTGCAAGTTGCGCACGTTAAAGATCCCTTGGTGGTCTCAAATCGATAAGAGTAGGCTTCGGCCGCCACCCGGGCAAAATTCAAAATTTCCTACCAACTGAAAATATTAGGTGTGTCCCGCGCGCTCATACGACCTATGCAGTTGCGAGCGCCGTAAAACACTTTACAAAAACAAAAACAAAAAACACATGCACAGTGACAGAGCCGGTGTGTGAGAGAAAGTGTAAGGCAGAGAGAGAGAGAGAGATAGAGAGAGAGAGAGAGAGTGAAAGAGAGAGGGGGAGAGAGAGAGAGGGGGGGGGGGCGAGAAAGCGAAAGACTGAGACAGAGAAAGCGGCTCTCGAATAACCGTCTGTCTCCGTTTGCCCCAAATCAAGCACGCGCGGTTACCAAAACCATAACTGCCTGAATAATCCCTTGAAAAACATCCCTCAGAAGATTTGAACTCTCTCTCAGCGAATCTTGGTCTAAGAAGCCGCTGGAACGTGCTACGCCTTTGAACAGGACAAGACAATACTAAAATACACTTACAGAGGGGCTGCATTTCTTTGGATCCATGGGTGATGATTTTAGTAAGTTTTACGGCACAAGCAATACAGTTCGGCCATATCATAACTTTTAAGTGCCGAAGATTAGAGGTCATAATACAAAGAAAAGAAGGAGAGATAAAAATGATGGATGTTTGATAGGACAGAAGCAGCAAATCACACCAGAACACCCGCCAACCATTGCTGCATCGTGGCCACCAGCAATAACCAGTTGAATTTCTTAGTTGTTAATAGTAAGCGGTTTTTTTTCCAGCCCCCTTCGATACAAGTAAGTTCATCTCGAAGGTGGGTTTTTGACTCTACCAGTAACGGCTAACCCAAGCTGAGATTCAAACAACAGCTCAGCACAAAGATCGAGACACTCGATCAAAATTCTCACGAAATGGGATTCGAACTCGGGTCCTTTGTGACGAAAGATTTCCTACAGGGACAAGAAAGTATTATCTTATGTTATCTTACAATATTCCTCCCTATCTCCCACCTCCCCCTGTCTTACATCTCTCTCTCTCTCTCTCTCTCTCTCTCTCTCTCTCTCTCTCTCTCTCTCTCTCTCTCTCTCTCTCTCTCTCTCCCTCTTTTTCTCCACCCTCCCCCCTCTCTCTCTCCCGATCGCTCTCTCTCATTCTCTCTCTCACTCTCTCTCTCGCTCTCTCTCGCTCTCTCTCACTCTCTCTCTCATTTTCTCTCTCATTCTCTCTTACGCTCTCTCTCTCTCTCGCTCTCTCTCACTCTCTCTCTCTCATTCTCTTTCTCGCTCTCTCTCTCTCTCGCTCTCTCTCATTCTCTCTCACTCTCGCTCTCTCTCTCGCTCTCTCTCTCATTCTCTCTCTCATTCTCTCTCTCTCGCTCTCTCTCTTGCTCTCTCTCTCTTGCTCTCTCTCTCTCTCGTTCTCTCTCTCTCTCTCTCACTCTCTCACTCTCTCTTTCTCTCACTCTCTCTCTCAGTCTCTCACTCACGGCCTGCGTCAGTCACACACGTCCGCCTGCACTGTCACAACAAGCTCACTGAATCGTCTGGAACTGTTACGGGAAACCAAGGACCTTTTGTTTAGAAAAGCTACCGTTTACCGGTGGTATTTCGTCCCTTCTTGACACACGTAGCACTTCCTGGCGTCATGTGGCAGGCAGAATGCTTTCCCACCTCCCAGTTTGTCGTTACTTTCCTTTTTTGGAACATGGGCGTTGGGCGGATGTCCGACCGGTGTTTGTATGGGGGAGAAGTGGATTTTATTTTAGGGTCCTGTTTCTGTGTTTATATGTTTATGTGTGTGTGTGTGTGTGTGTGTGTGTGTGTGTGTGTGTGTGTGTGTGTGTATGTGTGTGTGTGTGTCTCCCCCTCTCTCTCTCTCTCTCTCTCTCTCTCTCTATATATATATATATATATATCGATATATATATGTATATAGATGGATACACTCTATCTGTGTCTACCGTCTGTGAGTGTGGCGCAGGAATAGAGGGAGAATTTATTGAAGATAGAAATACGTATAGATCTCATATATAGATTTAAAAAATAATATGTTTGCAGGCA